CCCGGCACACGCACACACGGCCTGATAGATACACCACACACACACACGGCGCCTTCAAAGCGGTTTCGGACGATTTGGAACCACTTTGCCATGGCAACGGTTCCCTGGTGACGGCCGGGTTTTGGCGGGAGATGGTGTGAGGGTCGTTTGACGAGCTTGTTGAACACTTGGTTTTCCATTTTCTCCTGCAATAGGACGGAATAACGATGGGCTATCATAGCCTGGATACCAGACTGTTCTTAGGGCCAGTCGCCAGTTAGACGATGTACTATAGCCTGACCCTTTACTAGCCTGGATACCAGGCTGTTCCCAGGGCTAGTTTACAAGTCAGCCCCTCTTTAGCAATTAGACATTGAACTGGTCTGGATGCTAGACTGTTCTCAGGAACCAGTTAGACCCTGAAAAACTGAGGGGTGTCTACAGTAAAATGTCTTTGGGCACATTTTGGCCCTGGAGCCGAGGCGCTAGCCTGTACACTGGCCCTGACAATAGTCTGGCACCCAGGCTAGCCCTGGAGCCGAGGAGCTGGCCTTTCGTTCTACTGACCCTGGCAACAGTCTGGCACCCAGGCTAGTCCTGGAGCTGAGGAGCTAGCCTGTATCCTGTCCCTGGCACCAGTCTGGCACCCAGGCTAGCCCTGGAGCTGAGGAGCTAGCCTGTATCCTGTCCCTCGCACCAGTCTGGCACCCAGGCTGGCCCTGGAGCTGAGGAGCTAGCCTGTATCCTGTCCCTGGCACCAGTCTGGCACCCAGGCTAGTCCTGGAACAGATAAGTTAGTCTTTCTACTGACCCTGACACTACTCTGTAAACTGATGACTTCAGCATTTTATTGTATGAGATCTGTTTTACAACATAGGTTATGGGGTGCTGTTTTATAATGCGAATTACGCGCAATATTGTATCGTATCATGGCATATAAAAACCATCTTTTTCCTGCTCTATAAAAAGCTACTAGTATGTTATGATCTAGAGATAGGTGCTATGACCTAGAATATGGTGAAAGTTACACAGTTATTTGGTACTTTGGTACGTTTCGGTCTCATTGATACACTTGCACATCTACACGCACATATACCTACCCTCTTATCTATCATAGAGGAAAAATCCAGACTCTATTCTGTCCCGGATATCAAGTATAAAGGTTAAATGAAGGTTAATGAGAGCGGCATGATACAAATCACATCCCGCGCAGTCTCGCGAGACTACGGCCAACATGGAACCCCCGGATCAGGTTTCATGTAACACTCCGGCTCAGTTTCAGACCCGGCTAACTTTATCTTCACTGACGTAACATGTGATCCATCTACATAAATAACGATCGCGTTACATGCACCGCATCCAGCCTCCACCAGGCCTTTCTACGGGAATACGGATCGTAGAATTCGGCAAAAAAGAGAATCAAATTGGCCAAGGGAGTCAGTCCGCGGGGAGGTAGTTTCTTTCGCGGCCAGTCAAACCCCAAGGCGGCCAAACTCCCCTGTCCAATATTCGCGTATATGTAGCCAGCGTAGTTAGTCTGATAGAGACTGCATCGCATCTACTGTCCTATATTACTATATGAGACATTACCATGATGTGCATTAATACGTGTGTTTTCGCTATCTTTGATATAGTTTTTTTAATCGTCCATCATGTAAACAATGTACAGAAAAATCTATCGGTCGAAGTTTCCCGCCAGGACACGGGTTTCATGGGTTCATAAGAGGTTGGATGTTGCATAAATTTGGCAAAATAGGGAGATAACATGTCAGGGGAGTAGCAAATTGTACATCTTTAGCGGACCAAACTCCCCTGGCATGTTATCGGTGCTGGCGTAGAGCGGGACATTAGCGTACACCTCACGGCCGCTTCCCGAGCAAACATGTGTGCAGCATAGCAGTGATGACGGGCGGGTGTAGCCTCTACCAGGCTTCGGGAGGCGGCTGGAAAGAGCAGAAATCGGCCAAATAGAGAGATAACATGCCGGGGGAGTTGGTCCGCTAGGAGAGAACATTTTGCCGCAGAACATTTTGGGAGCGTGGCATGCTATCTCTCTATTTGGCCGATTTCTACTCTTTCCAGTCGCGTCCCGAAGCCTGGTAGAGGCTAGGGCGGGCGGGGGACTAGCGGTACGGTTGGCGGGACATTAGCGTGCTGCTCACAATCGGTAAGCGGGCTCTTAGCGTTCCCCTCACGGCCGGTTCCCGAGCAAACAGCGCGGCAGTATTCCCGGGCACGCGCGCCGCACGCGAGTAACATGCCTTACAATTCCCGCGCGCCTAAACAGCGCGGCTGTGTTGCCGGACACGCGCCGCGCACGCGAGCTGCACGCCGGACTATTCCCGCGGGGGTTGTGATTGCGGCGGACCTGATTTGGCATGCTGGGAACAGGCGCCGCCGGCTTGGATCGGTTCTGAGTGTTAGCCTGGGCGCCAGGCTGTTTTCTGGGCCTTCACGGACCAGTACCTCGGCTTTTATTAATAGGGACAACATGCTAGCCTGGATGCCAGGTTACTTTCAGGGCCTGCACTGGCCTGTTCTTCGGCTCCAGGGCCGACATGCTAGCCTGGATACCAGACTGTTTCCAGGGCGTACACGGGCCAGCTCTTCGGCTCTACGTTCAACATGTTAGCCTGGGTGCCAGACAGTTTCCAGGGCCCACACGGACCAGTATCTCGGCTGCAGGGCCAATATGCTAGCCTGGGTGCCAGACTGTTTCAGAGGCATACATGCACACAGGCCAGCTTCTCAGCTTCAATGCCAACATGCCTCCAAAAAAATTGTATAAGGCTGGGCTGGAGCCAGTAAAACAACCACAAGCGGCAAGCCGGCCTATGGAGAATGGTAACCAGGCTAAGATACTTCCAGCTTCAAATGTGCAACCAATAAACAGCCGAAATTCTTCACTGTTAAGAGACAACCTGACTGCACCCTTCTGTGTTGCTTGTAGTTTGTAAATACGATTTCCAGCCGTCGGGTTCCTTCCGCATCACTGTCATTATTTATTTGCTTTATTCTCCTTTTCCCGGAGCAGCTCCCATAAAAAGATAGAGAGAAAACAGCCAAAAGAAAAGCCCGCTGTCTCCCTGTGCAGCCTTCAGTTGTTGAAACGCGATTACGGGCTGTCAGGTTCCATTGGCCTGCCCGTCAGTTATCTGTTTCATTCGCCATTTCCTGCAGCAGCTACCATAAAAATAGAGCAACATAAAGGCAGCCGGCTGTCCGTACTGTGTATAGAACCGTGCCTATCTAGTTCTATGTCTGAATGGGTTAAGGTTAAGATCAAGCACGGTTCTGAATAGTCTCCGCGTATCCAAGAACGTAAAATTGCCCCACTACGGACTAAAGCACAATACAATACATAACCGTGTGTGGCCGTAGTTCTGTGTAAAGCACGGTCCTGGATACATGCGGACTGTCCAAAACCGTGTCTGAGCATGGTTCCGAATAAAATAGGAATTCTACGATCCGTATTCCCGTAGAAAGGCCTGTTGGAGGCTAGGAATCCAGGCTAGCCAAAGGTTTGGTGCCCAGGCTACGCCAGCAGCGCAGGCGCTGTGTGTTAACCCGGTCCGGAGTGGGCCATTACTCCTGGCGGTATCTCAGCCGGGCGGCGGCACAAAGCGGCCAGGAGTCCATCACGCTTCGTGCGGAGTTATAAAAACTCGCCCGCTTTCAGCCGGGCTGGATCGTAAAATCGCGCAGTGCGGTGGAGAGAGAAAGAGAGAGAGTGTGTGTTCACAGATGTGTGGGGAATCGGTGACAAGGACTAGCTCCGTGTCCGTGCGTCTGTCTGTCTGTCCGTGCCTGCGTGCGTGCATTCGTGTGGACCCATACAGTCGCCATAAGACAGGGTAACTAACATCAGTGAAGGACAATAGTAGAGAGGGAGAGAGAGAGCGGCGCTTAACCGGAGCGGAGAGAATCGGAGTGGAGGTGACAAGGACTGTCTCTGCGTGTGTGCGTCTGTCTGTCTGTGCGCGCGTGCACTCATGCGGACCCCAAACAGTCGCCACGAAACAGAGTAACATCAGTGAGGAGTCGCAGGAGAGGTGACATAGACTGCCTCTGTGTGTGCGCACGTTTTGTGTGTATGTGAAGGACAACAGTACCTCAGCCCTGGCGCCGCTGTTCTGCCGTTTACGCCGCTGCATCTACGCAGGACAGGTTCGGCCGTCTCGAATAGTTCGTGGCGTACAGACTGGACCAAACTGACTGGTCGTACAGACTGGACGTTAACTGCAGACGCTAGTCAGTACCACAGATAGCTACCCCTTTCGCCATTCAATAGCACCGACAGTAAGTTCTCCCGCTAGTGAGTACTCGAGTAGAACGGATTGTGACCCCCACCAGAAATTCAGCACCAAGGACAGGACCCTAATATGAAGCTTCCGCTACTTCAGATCAGGAACGTTGCCCATCGTGCTCACTGCCTACAGTGCCCTCCAAAGTAGTGTGTAGCCATGCTTAAGTGTTGTGGTGCCAAAATAGTGTATCCTAGAGTACTGGGAACCAGGCTACAGAATCCTAGAGTGCTGGGAACCAGACTAAAGCGTCCTACTGAGGCTAGGAGCCAGTCTACTGTATCCTTGAGTGCTGTGGAGTCAGGCATAAGTGTCCTACAGAGCCTGTTAGCCAGGCTAAAGTGCCCTGCAGAGACTGGGAGCCAGGCTACCGTGGTGCCCGGTGTTTCCAGGCTACAGCCCGGTCCAGCAGGATGGATGAGGAGGATACAGGGGCCGTGCGGCGCCTGGCGAGGCTAGGCTGGGCCCTCCGTGGCGCCTGGTGTTTCCAGGCTACACCCCTGGTCCAGGATGGATGAGGATGCTGCAGAAAACGTGCTGCTCTTCCCTCTATCTCCCCCGGGACTCTCACCATCACGTCAGGAGCGGCGCTCGCTCTCCAGCGTTACGCGCCATCTATATTCATGGCAGCGGGCGGCTATCTATCTGCCATTTGCATCTTAATATGACTTTTTGCCGATTAAATGGTCGGTGGATTCATTATTGGCCGGGGTATAAATGCCGGGAGCGAGCCCCGGACTCGCCCCATTTCCGACAGGCGAGCGGGAAGGCACGCACGGGTCGGGCTGCACGGACTTGTACCGGGACGCTGGCGGAGGCTCGGCGGGGAGGGCGCGCGCCACCGCCCGAACACTTGGCGTGGGATTTACGGTGCTTGCGGAGATGTGTAGCGTATCCAGGAAAGGGACTCCAGCCTGCTTTCCCTTGGATCCAACCGTTTCCCGTCGCCGCCGTGCCGTAACCCCTGATGTACCGGACTGCACCAGCGAGCCAGGCGGAGCTGACACACCGGCCCTCCCGCCGGACCGACACGGACCTCCCGGCGGACTGTTACGGGCCTCCCTCCGCGCCGCACGTCCAGGTAAGCCGCTCTGATCCACTCCGCCTAATCCCCGGCTAATCTCCCATTAATCACCGGGCCGTCCCCGCCCAGCCCGCGGCGCCATAGCCCAGGGCCACCCGGGAAACATCGCCGCGCTGCCCGCTCGGCCAAGGGCGAACACACGCAGGGCAGCGTAACTATACCTGTTGTATTCAGAACCGTGCTTCATCCAGAAACATGCCCAGTTCGGACGATTCTAGATATTCCATGCGAATGATCTAGAGCCTTGTTTTCTCCAGAGTCATAGTCAGGCACGGTTCTGGATACTAGTAGTCCGGGCGTATCCAGAACCGTACCCGGGGTAAATCTACGTTCTTGGATACGCGGAGACTATCCAGAACCGTGCCTGATTCTAACCCTGACCCATTCAGGAATAGAACTAGATAGGCACGGTTCTGGGTACAATTACGACAGCGTAACTCCTACCTGTATTTCGGTTAAAACAACTGTCAAAGAGGGGGTCTGTGTATCTTACTGAAATATTGGCAGGCATAGGGGGTGTTTAGAGAGACTGTAGCCGCCTTATAGTTCAGCCGTGCAAGGGAGGGGGGAATGTTATTTTCAAGCAGATACATGGGAGAACATTGGAACACTTTTGTTTTTTTGTCCGCTAGAATGAACACAAATTTCACCCAACGGAACAGACAGAAACCGTAATCATTCCCCCCCGAAATATCTGCTTGGAGGTCAGAATATCTCCCATCCGTGTCTAGTTTGTTTGTTTTTCTTCAGTAAACAAAGGCGTGGTGATGGTATAATTGTAGGGGACAGAAAATACGAGCGAAAATCAGCAGTTTCTGTGTGTGATCCTGACGTTTTTTTTGTAGCTGGAATCCTTGTGCTTGCATTTTGTTAATAACCAAACAGATCCTAGGGTGGCAAAATACAGTGTCAAATTGGCCAGAGAGAGTCCATGCATACGCCACCCAACGCCAATTTGATACTGTCTTTTGCCACTCTAAGATCTGCTTGGAGATTAGAATTTTGCTCCGTATTTTAGTCGCCATTCCCAGAGACGCCAGTATAGTTTGATATATTCTCCCCTACCGGCGGTGCCTGTTTTACTGTGGAGTAAATAATTCTTACCGCGCGTCTTTCTCAGAGGAAAAAACTGCGCGTCAGAAACTCCCTCCCCTTTCAGAATAAAAATCACGCCTGCTGCACAGATGCATACAGACAGCACAGCCTCAAATCACATGGATCCCTGCCGCTTATCCACTAGCGATGGTCTGAATTATTAAAGCCTACATCCCTGCCTCTTTTCTCCTGTATAAATCACCAGAGCGTTGTACGTTTGCACGCAGAATAGAGACAGATCTTGCAGAGGTAGTCATACTTGTTCTACTGATGCCAAAAAAGCGACGAAAGGCGCTGAATAAAAGAACTCGGCACTGCAAACTGAGTAACCAATGCTACACGGTCTTCGCTTTGCTCCGTGTGGTAAAGATACAGTTCTTTTTTCGTAGAACTATCGTAAAGGCTACACAGATACAGTTGTTTTTTCTCTCCTAGAACTATCGTATAGTGGATCGTGGCTACACAGATATAGTTGTTTTTTTCTCCTAGTACTATCGTATAGTAGAACATGGCTACACAGATACAGTTGTTTTTTCTCCCCTAGAATTATCGCATAGTGGAGCATGGCTACACAGATAGAGTTGTTTGTTTTTTTTCTCCTAGAACTATCGTAGAACGGAATGTGCCTACACAGATACAGTTGATGTTTTCTCTCATAGAACTACCGTATAGTGGAACATGGCTACACAGATACAGTTGTTTTTTCCCTAGTACTATCCCACAGATACAGTACGTAACGCTGTGGGTTCCCAGTTGACATGTTAGTTGTTATTTAGTGCTGCGCCGCCGGCTATGCGGGTAGCCTTACTTCCATTTCTACCCAGTCAATAATATACATCAAATAACGACCTGATCACATTCGCTATACACTATCTCCGTACCATCTCATACCAAGGGCGGTCATGACAGTGTTAGATGTGGGTATGTGCGTGTATTGTAGGACAAAATGTAGCTGTCCTTTTCTTACCAAAAATGCTGTCTTGAATCCTTGTTAGCGGTTGGTTGTGTCTCAGTCTTCTTGAAAATTCTACGGAATCAAAAATTAACCCTACTTGATTGTATACTGTATTAGCTCTTGATGTTTAGTAATAAGAATTGATGTTAATTTTCATTCTTTGCCCGTTTTGTTTTCTGTGCTATGTTCAATAGTCGTTGTCGTACATTGTACTACGTACAATGCATTGTCGTGCAATAAGTTGAATAACGTTTCATCAAAGTTGTAGGACGTATAACGACGAATATTCCCGTTAGTCTCTACTAGACTATTACTAAACTACGCTGGATATATATAGGAGAATATTTGCCTAGGCTAGGAAGTTTGACCGCCTTGTAGGTTTGACTGGCTGCGGAGGAAAAGAAACTACCTCCCCGCGGCCGGACTCCCTTGGCCAATTTTACTCTCCTTTTTGCCGAATTCTACGATCCGTATTCCCGTAGAAAGGCCTGGTGGAGGCTATGTTCCCAATACGTACTTAGAAAAAAAAGGAGCAACAGAATAAACATTAAGTAACTAAAACGCTGCCGACAGCGCCAACACGCCCTCCCGAGCGCTTAACACAAGTGCAGACGCGTCGATCAGGCTTCTCCTGCAGGATAAGCTGATTACTGAGATCTGCAGAAGAGACCGTTGACCGACAGACTCTCCCCTGACGTCCGCAGCTTACGGTAAGCCGGCTGGAGCTCTGCCAAGCCCGCCGAGCCAGCTCAGGTCGGTCCGTGTCAGGACAGAGCCGCTCTCAGCCAGAGGCGAGCAAAGATAGATGCAAATCTCCATCAGTTCCGAGCCGCTGGTTTTTCTCCGTCGGGCGGTCGGGAGGAGGCAGGAAGGACGGGCTCTATCCTACATCTCTGCGGGGTTAACGTACGGGGGATCCTGACGGGATGAATTAATGTACAGTCCTGGGGACGGCAGTACTGAACATGGCAAATCGGGTGAGCGACAGCACTGGCGGCGGGGAATCGAACTCTCTACCTCTGAGTCTGTATCACAGCAGCCGGGATTTGAACTCTAAATCTTCTGTTCCAAACGCCAAACGTATGAAATGGATTCGAACTCATGACGCCCTTGTGCAAATGCTGTACGTGCGGACCGGATTCGAACCCTCAACCCTCCAGTCCAGATGCCAAACTTATACGTATACAGCAATCCAGACAGCGGAGACGCCCAGACGAGATCTGTGGCGGAGAAAGAAACAAACATACGCACTGCTCGGTCACGGGTATTCTTGGGTTAATAATATACTTTTTCTATATTATTGCTTGAGAATACACGTGACTGAGTGTGTGTGAGACTCGACGAGAGACGACGCCTTTCTCTTCGAATCTTCGAAGCCATCGAACAGCGAACAGAACATCGAACACCGAATTACAATATCGAACATCGAATTCGAACATCGAACCCGAACATGGAACATCGAACACCAAACTAGAATATCGAATTCGAACATCGAATTCGAACATTGAATTCGAACATCAGACTTTGCTACATTTAACGCTCTATCCCTAACATGCGCCCCCCCCCATTAGGAGACCCGTATCCTGTATGTACTCATGCGTTAGTGAGCCGACATGATAGCTATTACTTAATTCGAACACACACGCCACATTTTCCGCCCCATTGCCGCCTGTAGTCTTCCGTGCGCGGTTCCATCCTTTATGGCATGTTTTCGTACAGTTTATTCCTGGTAGCTGATGCGGTGCCTCATTTGTCATGCTTTCTGTCGTTCTTAATGCGGATTTCTGTTCTCCGTAGCCACGTTTAGAACACAGTTTTAGTTTCCGAGAAATCCGAATTCCCGATGAGTTCAGAGAAGCCGGTATTATCAGTCACAGCTGCGCGGGTTTGCTGAGGCTTTCTGGTCGCCTGTAGTGAAGCCAATTTTCGCCGTGCCGCTTCTAATCAGCATCTATTGGCTGATCCACCGGTTCTCTAGCTTCATGTAAATTGGGAAGCTGGGGTGCTCTTGTATCCAGAACTATGCTTTATCCAGAACTAAGCTCAGGCACAGTTCTGGATAGTCCACGCGTTTTTCTAATTAAGGCCTTTTCGCTTCAGCTCACTCTTGTGCAAAGTTTGTACGTTGCTTTTTCTGCTTTCTTTGAGCAGGGCACTGAAGATACTGATAGGTTATGTAGGACAATGTTATAGTTAGTTCCTAAGAAATTGTGAGGATGTGGCTTTTAACTATGATAGTAGCAGCTATGAAATAAGCTTAAGGTTGTTTTATAGTTAGATGCTTACGTTGCTTAACATGCTAAAACTACATAATAGTCAATGACTTAAAAAAAACTAGAATCTCCCGGAACAAAATACCCTCCTCATTCTGAAAGCTCAAGAACGGGACGTTAGAAAGAACTGATATGGTCTTCATAATTTGATTCTAATGTTTCATAAAGTGACACCGTTTGCTATTATTAACTTTAACACCGTTGGGTAGGGTCCCGGATGTTTCGAACTGCATGCGCACGTGATCAGTCTCGCGAGAGTTTAACCGTGAGTCCGTGAGTAGCCCGGACGTTCTGATGACCTTCCCTTTGATCTTCCGCCGCGGACCGAGGTTTTTGTGCCGAATCAGATCCGCAGCCGATAGGCCACAGCAAGTCATTTTTATGGATGCCATTAGCGCGCGCATTCATTTTCGCCTGATTTTGGAAGACGAAAAAAAAAGAAACTTTGTTGCCTTCTGACAGTGGTCAACATGCCGAAAATGGGCAAAGATGTCTGTTGCCATGCCGGAAGGTGGATGGCAGATAACTATGAAGACAGAGACAAGAAAAGACTCCGATTCAATGTTTTGCTTTTTTACTTTGATGCAGTGATATGTAATGCTGGCTGTGTACATGTGATGTTCTCACTGAATCTAAACCATTTGTACAATAATTGAGTCAAAATTTGAAAATGTAGGAACCTTGTTTTTTCTGCCCGCCTTGTTTTTTTGCGCCCGCACGCATTAGATTTGGAGTCTGCGGAGGATGTCATCCATAAAATTTACTTGCTGTGGCCGATAGTCCCACACAGGAAACAGTCAGCTTTACATGAGCCGCGGAACGACGAGTAATTCTGTCCACATACCGGGATGGGGGTTTACGTACGGAATAGGAAACGCATTTCACTGCACTGTTTCATCTGGACAGGCGATTTCTCTCTTTATTCTCTTTATTCTCTTGATTTCCATGCCATCTAGCTCAAAAGGCTAGCCTTCCAGGGTTCATACAGAAATAAAAGCACATATACAGCAGATAACATGACTAAAAAAACACATTTAGCAAAAAAGAAATTTACATTTTGTACAAAAGGAAGGAACGTAACCTACATACTAGTCACAGAACATTTTATGAACAGTTGGTGGATGTTTTTTTTCTCGCTCAAAAAATTGTGAAGTAAAAATAACCGTTGTCAAATCAGATATGTTTCTGCATGTATAATTAGATTTGTTCCAATTTAGTTTCACGAATCATCAGAAATATCATTGATATTCAACGTTTCGCAACCGTTCTTTCATCCGTGGACCGAGAGCAATACGAGGAAATGCAGCCCCATTATTAGATATCTGCCATCCTTTATTCGTTTATAATTCAGTTATAAAATGCCAACTGTGCACTCTATTCAATCAGCTTTGGCCACGTGATTTTGCTCTTGTTGCATTTTATCTATTCTGATGAGAAGGCAACCGTGAATATTAACGTTACCTTCCTTTTGTTTTGATGTTTATTCCTGTTTAACTTCATTAACGATCATTATTGCATTACTTCCACACACCACGCTGCATCATATTCGTCTGCTTGCACTGAAGATGAATCCAGAACTGTACTTTATTCAGAGCCATGCTTGGGCCACGGTTCTGGATAGTTCCCGCGTGTCCAGAAACGTAAATGGGTCAAATCTACGTTCTTGAATAGTCGGAGACTGTCCAGAACCGTGCCTGATCCTAACCCTAACCCATTCAGGTATAGAATCCAGAACCGTGCCTGATCCTAACCCTAACCCATTCAGGCACAGAACTAGATAGACACGGTTCTGGATACAATAGAGACTATCCAGAACCGTGCCTGATCCTAACCCTAACCCATTCAGGCATAGAACTAGATAGGCACGGTTCTGGATACAATAGAGACTATCCAGAACCGTGCCTGATCCTTTATAGCATAACCCATTGAGCAATAGAACTACATGTAGATATTCACGGTTCCGGATACAATATCTGCCCGGTTGCCGGTGCAATTTTACGAAACAACGTTACCCCCCTGCCTATGATTAACTATCTCGGGGAACGGAACTGTCGTCCTCGTCTCTTCCGACCTCCAAACTCGGCAGATAAAACTCAATTAAACCCGAACCACTCCTACTGCACCACTCCGGCTGATCGGCCGGGATACAATTATCTCATGTTTGCCGTTCTACTCTAGATCGGGAACCGTGCAGAAATTACTCCTGCGTTTAAACATAATTGGGCAGAATCGTCAAACAGAGCTTTTGGTGGCATCAAGACAGCATCTAATTGGACCTAGGAAAAAAAATGTTGTGTTTCCTTTTTCAGGTCTGAAAAAATTAGGGTCTGTAGGTAGGGATTATCTTTTTTTTTACACTTTAGTGATATCTATATAGTGGTGCAATACATGTATACAGCTTAAGAAAGTAAAACTTGTATGAGGACACTTTTATTGTCAATGTTAGAAAAACAGTTTTACAACGTTTCATCAGTGAAACCGTCTCTCCACGGCAAAACTCCCTCGGCGGCAAAATCGTCGCTCTCCGAAAAAAAATAACGCCGCGCCCTACAAGTCTGCGAAGGAGGCCCGGGACCGGCCGTGTTCGGGGCGGGATGGGGCCTCGTGCCACCGGGTTGGGTCCCGGTGGACGGTCCGGTCTGGTAATTGACATGTCGTGATTATTAATGTATGAGATCTGGTGATGTTATACTCCGTATGTACAGGGTCAGGATAACACAGAACCCGGGTAATCGGGAAGTGTTGTATCCAGAACCATGGACAGACCGCTGGATAGGCACGGTTCTGGATACGGTAGACATTGAGGCCGGCAAATGACATGGGGTAATTATCAATGTATGAGATCTGGTGATGTTATACTCCGTATGTACAGGGTCAGACGAGCGATATCTTGCCTATGTAGTTCTATGCCTGACTGGGTTTGGGTTTTTTAGGATCAGACACGGTTCTGGATAGTCTCTACTGTACCCAGAACCGTGTCTATCTAGTTCTATGCCTGAATGTGTTAGGGTTAGGATCAGGCACGGTTCTGGATAGTCTCCGCGTATCCTAGAACGTAGATTTGCCCCAGGCACGGTTCTGGATACGCGTGGCCATTCAGAAGCGTGCCTGAGTATTGCTCTGGATACCTCAGTCGGTAATTGACATATAGAATAATTATCAATGTATAAGATCTGTCAATATTACTTATACGGGGGCAAACGGACAGAATCCAGGCACTCGGGCAGTTTTGCATCCAGAACCGTGCTTTATCCAGAACCATGCTCAGGTACGTTCTGGATAGTCCACGCGAATCCAAAACCGTCCCTGGATACGCGGAGACTATCCAGAACCGTGCCTGGTCATTACACTAACACATTCAGGTACAGAACTAGATACTAGTAGGCACGGTTCTGGATACGACAGACGTATAGAGTCATGTAATTTACAATCAGTAATTATTAATGTATGAGCCCTGTCGATGTTACCATGTACAGGGTC